CTGGCATTTAAAAAATTCACCTTTAGTAGCTCCTGCACACAGAAAGCAGATCTGTTCTATCGAAATGGACTTTGAGGAAGAAAACTGCTCTCCAGCAGAATCTCTGAGATGAGGGTGGGCCAGGAATGACTCTGGGTCACAAGCTTTATTGGCACATACAAACTCCTACAAGTATGAGACACAGAGCAGGTAAGTACAAAAGGAGGGGGTAAACTCAAGCATGGAAGTTTTTAGAAAGGAAATTTCTACATTTTTAATTTTGCTTCCCCTTGGGGATGTCTGCAAATGAGCAGGAGGACACATGCTCCCTCTTTTACCACAAGCCCTCTTCTGGACCGAGCAGAGCTGCTAACCTTTCCCTCCTAACCTCTCAGGCTTTGTAGCATGTTATCCAGAGCTTGTTTGATGGAGCTGACTCACTCAAAGTGGGCTCAGTATGTGGGCAGAGTGAGTTCACATCTCCTGTGAAATACCACATAAATCTATCCATGGAAAGCAGAGTGTAAGTGGGAAGGGTGGGGTGTTGCTGAGAAACAGCTCCCCAGTATCTCTGCTTTGATATCGCTGTGTCTGGGGCTGAAAGGCAAATCATACACCAAGATTCTGAGCTGGGCATCTACTTCAGCAAGCCTGAGCAGTTGCAATTGCAAAGCACCCAAAGGGATGCAGGAACAGCCTTGGAGGGTCACATCACCTGTCATCTAACACAGACCATGGATAGAGGCTAAAGTGAATGAGTACAGGTTTAGAGCATCCCTGCTCCAGTGGAAAAAGGGGGACTGAGTATGTGTAGTACATTTGAGGGTGCACCTGCATTTAAAGTAACATTAAATAAGTACTCTGGATATCCAAAGATACACCATACAGAGGCAGACACAGAGAGAAATAATGACAAGGATCAGGCTCTGGAGATAAACATTCTTTTTATTGATTAAGCATATATTGATTAAGCATACATATAACCTACAGTGCTGCTGCTTCACCTTGCTTTAGGGGAATGACCAGAGAAAGCTTAAACAGACATTTTCTGCATCATATGTGAAATACAGCAGTTGGCAATCTCACCTGCCATGCCATTATTCAGGCTAGATGTTTGTAATGATCCATTCTGTTCATAAAAGTCTATTATACAGCAGGTTCAGTTCAAAGAGTCCCATTTAAAGTGCAGGTTTCATATCAATCTTACTGCAAGATTTTAGTTCACCCAACACAATTACTGAATGGATCACCCCATACACCACATATTTTGCAAACAATTACTGGTTTTTAAAAGGAAAGGTTACACCACCCTGAAACTTCACTAGAGGTGCAAGATTAGTCTTCACCTATTCTCTTAATGCTGGAGGAGGAGGAAGCTCCCTGCGGCACAGCAATCAAAATGAACTCTGATGCAGACAGCTAGCATTTCCTTCCTGCAGCACTTCTGCAATAACAGCTGATGTAATTGTTCAAATTGTAAAAAATCACAAGAAAACATGGTACTTTTCTCACCCACATGTAGCTACCTCCTATTCATCAAAAGAAATTATCACTTCACTTCCATAGATGTGATTTATGTATTATATGCCCTTGTGAACCTCAATAATGACAATATTTAAGTCTCAAAAGAACTGAATTGCAGAGCACAAAAGTGGGTTCCATGGTGTCAGTCCAGCTACCTCCACAGCTATCCATTTTAATCTGCTTGTTATCTTTGTCTTCAGGGAAAAGTAGTTATTAAACTTTGGAGCAGCTGGCTTTTTTACTCTCTCTGACTTCAAGTGATGTTTTTGTGTTAGCATCAAATCATGGCAAAAATGAATCTGAGAAATTTAACACAGGATATACATTCAATCAAATGCTAACTTCTGTTTCCAATGCAGCACATGGTGGGTTGCATTTCTATTTCCTTATTTACAAAGCACACAGGACACCCCATAATGTCTCATCTATAACCTGGGGTTTGCAGCGTTGGACAGTATTGGAGACCTAAATCTGAATGGAAAACAAATATCTGTAACCAAACATTACTCTGGTTTGTCAGTAAGGGGTGAAACAACACACATGATGACAGCCATTTAAGGAAAAGAATGTATTTCCTGTACCTCAGAAAAGTTATTTACAACATTGTGCTAAACAAAGGCTGACTTGACTAAGAAAAGCCAAGAGAGTTTAAGAAAACCAACAGAGTTTAGAGCAGATAACTGACAGAATCTCAGTGCAGCCAATCCTCATTTAATCTCATTTCTTTCCTGCAGAAGTACGGAACAAGCTCCCACAGGAATTAGTTTATTTTGCCAATAACTGGGTTAGGCTAAGGCACTACCTAGTCCTATACTAGAGTATATGGACATTCCTCTGCACAGATTCCTACACACTTTTTCCAGTCAGCTCACTCAGATACTCAGCTCTTGTCTTTAGTGTGAAGCTTAGCTTATCCATTATCTTTATTTCAATCTTTAATTGAAATAAAGTTCTTTACATGGTAATATAGCAGCAAAGTTGGGCTCAGCACTTGTTTCATTCTACCCAGTTTTCTGAGAAGGAAAAACCAGTAATATTTCAGAAAGGTTTCTTTACTGGGACAGTAGGCTACAGGACTGCTCAGCTTGTAAAGTTCTGTGGCAGAGGAGCCCAGAATTATATGCAGTGGAATCGAAGCCTCAGGTAGCTACATGACTTTCCTGGGAAGGTTAAGCAGTTTGCAATGTTACCAAAGGATATTGTGATAGCAAATGGGGAATAGAACTGCAGGACTTCAGCAGCCCTCTCTGGGAGAGGAACAGAGAGGAGTCATCTCTGCAGGACTCTGGTGCTTGAGCAGCTTCTTTTCACAAGAGAGGCTTGAGTAGATGGTGACATTTTTTATTCTAGGAGAGAAATATTTTGAGGACTGCATGATTATTGGAGCAATGAGGGGAAGCTATATCACCCTCTGCACCCAAATAAGCTTGCAAAGCAGCAATGGGAGATCCAATTGAATTTTCTCCAAATAGCTGTGGAAGCTCAAGTCGTTTGACATAAAGAGGAAAAGCGTCAGATGGAAAGTATGAAGACTCTTCACTTAGCCCTACAGAGGTGTTAAGGGTGTTTGATAGATTAGGGGGAAAAGTTCTAAAACACATTGGTAGGGGAAATATTAAAAAATATCTCATAAATGGCATGTGTCAGGCAAGATCTAGGTTCAAAAAGGAGAAGCTCAGGAAACAGGTCCCTAGTTTAGGGAAAGGTTCTTCACCCAGAGGGCATTGAGCAGGCTCCCCAGGGCAGTGGTCACAGCACCAGCCTGACAGAGTTCAAGAAGCATTTGGACAATGCTCTCAGGCACATGGTGTGACTCTGGGGATGTCCTGTGCAGGGTCAGGGCTTGGACTCAGTGATTCTTGTGGGTCCCTTCCTACTCAGGATATTATATTGTTCTATGAATGCAGCAGCTGCAGTAACCTTGAGATTTTCAAGAAACTGGGACATAGGCAAAGTAGCATTCGTTTTCTCTTAGGTGGGATTGGTTGTATGAGACTACCCCTTGTCAATTCCCTCCCTCTTGTTTCCTTTATCTGACACTTTCCAAACATCCTGTTTGTGCAGTGAGAACAAAGGAGATGAAATGGTTGTGGTGAGATCTGCGAAGCAGAGCAGTGCCAAGATCCTCAGGTGTCACACGGCTGCCCTGCTCTGGTGGTACTTTGTAGTGAGTGGGAAGGCATCAGGGTACTGTATGTTATTAAATCTCACTCAGAGAATACTACTTGAGGAGATAGCCTGCAACCTTGCTGAATAAGGAAGGGGCTTTATGTCAGCTGCACACTGTGCCTTCATGTTTCAGGTGATCTATTCCACTCAAGTCCACAAAAAAAATCTCCACTTTTTGTTCAGAAGATGGGGAAAAGGGAAAAAAATAAAGTAGGCTAGACCTTTCCTGAAAATGAATATCCATATTTCATGTGCATGTAATTGATCTACATGAGGAATACATGCTCTGAGAAAAAATATCAGAAGTACAGCGTTATGTGGGAAGACAGCTCCACCAGGCTAAAACATCCTTTTTTTTTTCTGTTTCATGCAAGTCTGTCTTTTAAGTGTTGACAAATTTAGAAGCCCAAGCTGGAATGGCTACCACAGCTTCATGTTCTTAGGTGCAGCCAGTACTGAGGTTGAACATGTATCCTCAACCTCACACACACACACAATGTGTATATATATATGTGTATGCATATATGCAAACATGCTTGACCAGATATGGAGATCAACGCAAAAAATGCAGCACTCACAGAAAATTCCAATGGCACCAACAATCTCATCCTCTTCACCTGTTTGGCTGACCATGATGAAGGCCTGTTATGGCAAAATATCCACATATATAGAGATATACATGCACAGGTGTCTTGGGTGGCTGGCCCAGGGACTGGCACAGGAGTAACTTCACAGAGGTACTGTGAGGGTTTGGGGAAGAGGCAAAGATGTCCAAAGTTCCTTGCTGCATGCTGCAGCTTGGGATTGATGATGGAAGCCCCTGGATGTTCTCCAGCACCTGGGACTAGACAGAATAAGCACTGTAACCCAGGGCAATCCTCAGCAGTGATTCACCAGTGGGGGACACAGCCTTAAAGGTTTGGATGGGTTTTCACAATAATTGAGGGCAGCATTTTAATTTTTAATCAGACAATGTAACTTGTTTACAACCTTCGTGAGAGTCCCTGTAGTGTTTTTAGCCAACTTAAAACAAAAAGAACCCAAAAGAATACTGCAATATAACCGCATACGTTGGCAAACAGTACAGTGCCTTGACTTTACAGCCTCAGCATCAGCACCTCTTCCAGGACTGAAGCACTGATCTTTCTCCCAAATGCTTGGGATGGGAATTACCTGAGGTGACTTTGCAATCCTAGCTGACTAGTGCCAACTTTTAAAGTGATGACTACTGTGTAATCACAGTCCTTGGGCTGGCATTTCAGCTTTCTTTAATTTATTTCCTTTTTCTTTTCTTTCCAAATGCAAATACATGTTGCTTGCCAGATTTCTTCTACATCATGTCAGATCTCATGATACTGAAATAAATTGTATAAATGAGCTCTAAGCAACAATGTTCTGTATTCCTTCTGACATAGTCAGTCTGACCTTGCCTCAGTCTCACAACTGGAGATAAGGAATGAAAGTCTCTGTGTCAAACCTGGCATAACCAAGTAGATGGCTTTGGATTTGAACATGACAAATTTATAAGTGGATGAGCCTTCATCATAAAGTGACTGCAGTCCTCCACTGGGCATACCTGCAATGCCACTCTTGCTCCTTGCTGTGTGACAGAAATTCATACAGAGAAACTGCACTCTCTTCTTCCCCCTTCATCTCTCTCCAGCTGTCCTTCTCTGCAAGGTAAAACACACGGGATTAAATTTTTCTGTTATATTTTCTGAAGGGAAAGTTAGTTTACACTATGACCCAATGCCTCAATGTTAGAAATGGATATTTAAAGTCTGGTTTCCCCTCTTACACTCAGTCACTCAAGAGTACCTCTGCCCATGTCTGTGGAAGCACACTTAGGAATGTGTGGCCCTTATAAGGACACTTTGCAAAATGATAAAGAAAAATGCCAACTCTTATTTTTTACTTGCTTTTTCTAGATTTTAAATTTCCTTCCTGTGAGCAGCATCTTTTTCAGAGCGCACAACACTATCTGGAACAGTAGGAAGAAACCCAACCTACACACAGCTATGTTTTTATAATCTGCCTGGTATTTCCCACTGGCAGCATAAACCCAGTTATTTCTTGGTTCATCCTTTCATTAGTTATAATGCCATTGTATATATTATTCATAAAATAATATTAATTCATACTTTCAGTAAGAAAATATATATTGGTGGCCTTTTTTAATCATTCTCAAATCAATCCTATTATCCCACCACTCATTAAACCAAAGTGGGTTTGTTTGTTTGGGTTTTTTAATTAATTTTCTGCTATGGCCCATTTAATTTCATTTGGTATAACCTGGTATGTATGGAGCAGAACAAAGAAAACACTTGAGTCTATTTATACACAATTAAATAGAAGTGATATATCCATGTCTTTTATAGATGGCTTTAATTTTCACCATATCACACTAAAATGTTTTGCAAAAGCAAAGTATTATTTCCCCAAATGAAAAATTTAAACTGACAAAGCATCTACATACCAGGTGGGTGTTATTATTGCCTTTTCCCACATACCATTACTTTGGAACCTATTAAAGCTGGTACACACAAGTATTAAGCTCCTCAGCAGTTACAGTGACCCATATACAGATATACAGAAAAAAATTGAGTAAAATTGAGACTCCATGCTTTGCAGTGGTGTAACCTATCGCTTAGGGGTGCCACAGTTTGATACAAACTGGCTACAGAGCTGAGGTCCCATTGCCCTACAGTGTGGCTGGTGTGAATTTAGGTAAGTTATTTGTAGTCTCTGCCTGTTTTGTGTAGAGTAAAATGAGTCCTGTAAGAGTCTCTAAAACTTTTCCGATATGCAGGGAAAATATTCTTTGCCTTTATGGCTTTTTGGGAATCCTTCTGACCTGATTACTTTCCTTAGCTATTTCTGCATCAAACATGGCCTATGACTGAATCAGAGGTTAAGTAGCAGTGAATTTATCATGACCCATGATCAATTTTTCCAAGGTTTAAATACAAACATGAGCCTTATCTTCAGGTGTCTAAATCCCACCCATTCTACATCATTAAAATTCTGTTTCCTACCACAAAAATAATCTTTGCACAGGGTGCTGATCATCATAATCTAGTAATTACTTTGATATTACACCCACTAGAAAATTATTTCTACTTTGGAAATGCACTTTAGAGAGACTGAGCCTCTCTGAGCACTAAATGTGAGACAAGGCATCTTCCAAAATTCAAACTGGTCTCCAGTCTCTTTCAGTTTTCAGGCCTCTTATTTAGGACATTCAGTTTGGGCACTTTGATTTTTTCAAGAGAATGAAGTCTTCCAAATGCAAACAAATTTTTCTCTAATCTAGACAGAATTATTTTTTAATCTGCACAATGCCTTTAAATTAAAACTACCCTTTCCAAGTCAATTTTGCTTGCTGCTGAGGAAATACAAAGAATATTAGGGGCTATCAGGAGACTAACCTCTATTTAATTTAGTTGTTTTCCACGTTTTAAATTTCTCTTTCTTAAGCTTTGATTGCCTGGGACCCTTCTCAGTAGACCTATCATCCTCAAGGATCTATGGTTTACTGCTGCTAATCCCAGGCTGAATTCTCTCCATTTCCATTCTCTGAATAAAATTCCCAAAAACTTTTGGTTAGCTCTTCTCTACTTCCCTATATCCCTCCTTGTCTTCCCACCACGCTCACATCCCATCTGCTCCCATAGCACTGCCAACATCTCCCAAGTGATGCTAGTCCAGCTGGAATTGCAATGCTAAAAAAGCCTCTGGAAAATATCACTTCCAGCTATACAAATAGCTACTGATCTGTTTGCTCCCTTTGTCTGGATGGTGAGGAACAAAAAGTAACCAACCAGACTTCTGCAGGAGCCAGAGATTTCTCTCCTTCTCACTAAACTTATGTCCAGTACTCTTTTTTTTTTTTTGGCACAGAATTAGTATGGAGATTGGATGGCAGAGCTTGATCTGAACTTTAGATGTCCTTTTTGTTACCTTTAGTTAAATTAAGGCAAGAAAGGGAGTCAATATGGAATAAAATGGTCCTGAAGATGCCCTTACCTCATGGTCCTGCTTTGTCGGGCTCTCAGGTCCAGGGAAGGATGCAGAGGTTCATATGAAGAGAACATAAAAGCAGTGGTTTGCCAAGATAATGAACAATTTGAGGGAGTTATGGTCTGCTGCTTTGCCACAAACCTGGGCTTTCTACCAGGAGCTTTGTCACTCCATGAAGGGACCAGCTAATTACCTCAGCATCTTGTCTCTCTACGTGTAGCACTAATTCTGCAGACCTAGGCTCCTCCAAGGCTGCAGCTCCTGAGAAAAGAACAGGAAATAACCACACATTTTCAAGATGCTAAAGGGAAATAACTTGCATGACTGCATAGGGGAAGAAAAGAAAAACTTCTGTCAACTGTAAGCAGATCAACATCTGATGATGGGAACACTGATTTCTTTCTGTCATGGAAACTCCATGCCTATTAGTGGATTAAACAACTCTCTGTAGATCAAGGCACATGGAAAAATTGCAGTGATCCATCACAGCTGTTCAGATGTGTTCTCTTTGCCTTCAGGAAAGGACAGGCCTGCATGGCCGAGAAAACTTTTGATGCTAACTGCTTTAAATGTAGCCAGGGCTGGAGAAAGCACCTTATTTGAAGAAAAAGGTATTCTACAATGTTTGACTCACTGGTCACAGTACTCTAAAACAAAAGAGAGTGTGATTACTTTCTTCAAATACACTTTTTTTTTTTTTTTCCCAAATCTTTTCAATTAAGTCCCCAAGGACAGGAACACTGTGCCACAGTGTCACTACCTGGCTGACAGCAAAAGCCATAGGCTACTTCAGGATTTCAACTTTCCTTAAAAATGGATTAATGGAGTTAATGGACTTGGCTGGGGAGTCATAAAATGTAACTCTCTGATATGAAATAGCTTATGGTGCCCAAGGAGAACCATTTGTACTTTACCAATAGAAATACAACTGAAGGTGTACCCTGTCCATGGATTTTTCTCCCCAGCTGGATGTCATTGGGAGTTTTCTTTTTCCATTAAGCTGGGAAACTGTTAATGAAAAGCAAGAATAAGGTTCTTCTTCCCTAACTCACAAAATATGAGGGAAGGGAAACGGCAGTGCTCTTGGAAGTGCCCCCTTAAAAGGAGGAATAAAAACACATGAAGTACATGTAAAAAATATTACTGATATACTACATCTGTCAATTTTCTCATGGAAAATTAAAAAAAACTCCATGAACACTCTTGAAAACAGATATCACCATGCATTATCTGGCCAGGAAAAAAAATAGTGGTTTGAGTTCATCTTACTGAACAAGCTGGGAAGGAGCCTTTGAATTAAATAATAAATGCAAGTTCACCCAATCATTTTATTAGCAAGCAGAATATGATACTAATCTTTCAAAGTGTCATATAAAACCCAAAGCAAAAAACCAAAGAGTACTACGAGATGAATGCACATGACTAGCTGTTCTGAAGGGAGTAGAAGAAAATGTGACTCTTAAAGATTTAAAGAATGTTTCTGAGATTCCTGTGGTGACATACAGATGTGTTCAATGAAAGAAATTTCAGCCAGGGTGATAAGATCTTGTGCCAGCAGATGGAGAGAACTGTTCCCAAACAACCCAATGAATTGTGCAACACATCATGTGCATCAGCAAAACTCATCACATCAGGATTTAGAGGCATGTGATCACATCTGAATCTAAAGATCAGCTGCAAGGGCAGGCAATTCAATGCTTCTGCTACTGCTAAGCAAAGTTTGTGGGAACCACAACTGCAAAGGAATCCAAAAGTACGTATGTTCATTTCCATGGAAATGTTTTGCATTTGCATTCTGCTTGAAAAATTACTGGCTTAAGGATTCTTATTAAAAGCTCTTATGCAACAGCAACACTTAACACATGCAGCAATGATGATGCATTTCAGGGCATTTCTTGCAAAGCTATTTCAGGCAAATGATGAGTTTTAGCTCTGGAAGTTGTGCACATCAGCCCTCTGAATTGTCAGATTGTGACTGCTCAGCATTTTCTAAAAATCAGGCCCCAGGAATTACCTCAGATTGAGCATTCCAAACTTAGGGTACGGATCATCACCAGACATTAAAAATTCATCCAAGACCCACCTCTGCCTTGAAATATTACCATGTTCCCACAACCAGAGTATCTCTGCACCCCTAACAACCTTGTACTGCAGAGAACAGCTATCTCAGTTCACATCTAAACTGCTAGGGAAATAAAGCTTTGATAGTAGGGTACTTTATCCAAGGCATGAGTAAAAGCCAGGCAGGGAAAAGACTGGAGTGAAACACTTTTCCACATCCCACCCCTCCTCAAGCTTAATTATTCCTTTATATTCTATATATTCATATTGCTTAAACTTATCCATTTGAAAGCTTCAACTAAACATTATTATTCAGGTAAGAGTTTTTCCAGAGAGGATTGATGAAATTAACTGGAGAAGAGAGACAAAAATGTAGATTTTATACAAAATTAATACCTGCATTGCAAAGGGTAAACAAGATATATGATCACAGTCATGTTTTAATTTATTAGGGTTTTTGATCCTAAAAAGAGAACAAAGATTTTGGCCCTACCTCTATTTTGATGAGTATGAGAGGGCTTTAATTTGGTAGACTATGCAGAGTGTGCATATCGATATTTCTGCCCAAAAATAAGAGGTAGAAATCTGCTGGAAGAATTCCTTCATAACTTGCAGAGACCCTCATACCCCTGAGCACTTGCATTTAGGAACTGTATTTCTGAGATAACCTGAGTCCTTCAACAGCTAGGGGTGGAACAGGGGAGCGAAGTCCATGTCTTTTGGTCAGTGGCCAGTGTTGGGGACGAGCAACTGTTGAGCTAAGATCTCCATTAAAGCACAATTTACAGGTCTCTTTAGACCATTTCTATCCCTTATAATAAATTAATCCAGAAATGCCTCCCTGAGCCTAATGTTGATAATTACCTCTCACCGGTATCTATGGATTTAGTATGGAGTCCTCTTTCCTCATGCAGAAGATTCCTGCATCTGCTTATCCCGTAGCATTTTCCCACCTTCTCTATCCCAACCTGGCACATTCAGGTGAATAAACAAAAAGGGATCAGAGAAAGGGTTTGAGGATTTAAAGTGAAGAGTTGACCAAAAAAAAGCTCAAAGGGAGGAGAACTGAGAATGTTTTGGAAGGTTCTTAGTTTTGCTTTCCAAATACATTCAGTAGTTAAGTTGAAAATGCCACTATACGCTTCCCCTACTGCAGCCTTTAAGCTTTCTGCATCCAAGTTAAAGAGCAGACACACAGGCCTGTGGTGACAGACAGCTACTGGAAGAAATTTTGGAACAGAAATATGGAATGGAGCAGCTGAGGCTGGAGGCATGGGGAACAGCTTCTATTGGGTTTACATAGCAAGGTTCTGGCAATTAGGGGGCAACAGGGTTGGCTTCTGCCCGCAGGTGACAGAAACTGTCCCCATGCCAGATGGAGCTTGTTCCAGCTGGCTGCAAGATAGACCTGACACTGGCCAGAGCTTGACAGTGGCAGTGCCTCTGGATAACATATTTAAGAGGAGGTAAAATAAAGCTGCACAGCAGCTGGGAGAGAGGAATGTGTTAAACAACAGACACTGAGGTCAGTGAAGAAGTTTTGGCTGGAGAAAGACACTTTACTGACAGCTGACCTGCCTTGTCAGCTTATCACTTCTTCCTCAGATGTTTCCACTCCTCTGGTGATATCCACAGGATCATGATGTAATTAATACTTCATTGAAAACCCTTGCTAAGAAATTAGAGGAACAGGAACAGGACAGAGCAGCTAGAAACAAGGCCATGCAAAACTAGCTACAAATGTTTCAGAGAGTGAAGAGGAAGGACTGAGGTCTTTAATCAATTTCTCTCTATTCCTCAAAACCACATGAATTGCTGAGCACAAAAAGAGAGTAATTTACATTTATGGAATTTCAAAGCACATTTAGAGTCTTTGCAGCAGCACAGGCATTTGCTTTCTGTAGGTTTGCATAGGAGCTCAGCACTGAAGTGGATAACCTCAAATTTGGAAATTTGGAAAGCATTACACACACAAACACAAGACATTGCATGCAACTCTGTCTCCAGCATTTTAAAAAAAGCCATCAGTTTCTTTTGATCTTCAAGAAGAAAAAATCTGATAATTCCTATCATTAATTAGCATGCTTTCTCTTCCACAGCATTTTTGAACGATGGTTAAGAAGACACAGGCCCATGCTAGAAGTGTACCCAGCAGCTAATGCACCAATTGGGCACAATCGAGAAAATTACATGGTCCCCTTCATCCCTCTTTACAGAAATGGAGAATTTTTTAAACCCTCAAGAGAGCTGGGGTATGACTATGAATATCTGCAAGAACCAGGTAATGTCATAATTTTGGGTAAAAGGGGAAATGTAAAATTTGTTGCCTATAAACTGGAATAAGTCTGTTTTATGACAAGATAAAAAATCTTTCTAATTCCAGATTTTTTTAAAAAGCATTAAATGACTAGGCAATCACTAATTGCATAAGGTTCAAGAAAGGGAAAATGTAAGATTCTGCACCTGAGATGGGGCAATCCTGGATGTATGAACAGATTGGGGAATGAGATGCAGAAAATAATTAGTCCAGGTGCTGGAATATAAGCTCATGAAAGAGCCAGATCAAGACCAGAAATGTATATACATATTTCTTAATCAGACATTAGTTTCTTAAACTCTTCTTCTTGCTAGAATTGTACAACTCAGACAAAGTAGCAAATACCATGACTTTCAGGAATTCTGAATCCTGAAATTGTACTGCAAGAGGAAGAAAATGGTAAAATACTTACCATCCAATAATTAATTTTTGCTGTCTCTTGGACTCTTGCCTTTTCCCAGGGGAGCACATAGTCCTCAGAAAAAGGAAATCCTATTAAATTCTGCCTATGTTTTTAACAGGGGTAAGGAAAGTAGTTCCTTAATTATTCTGAAACATCAACACAATGAACGAAATTCAGCCTTGTTCAGAAAGCCCAGATAATCCTCAGATGTCGTTCAACCCCTTGGTAATCTCACTGAGAAGCAGCAAGCTTAAGCTATTTCTTAGCTGAAGGGAAGAACTGGTTACAAATGGAAAATGGTTGGACTCTCAAATTACAGACACAGATTTTCTCACTCCAGTGTATAAATACAGACTTTTCTTTAGGAGAAGAGAAAGTCTGTGATTGTCAAACAGGAAGTACTGGACAAGTAGGAAACATTTATGAAAGAAAAAAAAAGTCAGTTGAAAAGATCTCGGTCATCAAGAAAAGGCAGCATTT